GGATCATGACCTGAGCCAAAGGCAGCCGCTTAACCAACTGAGCCACCCAGGCGCCCCTTGGATGCATTTTTCATCTGTGGAATTGAAAGGTCATTTCCATCGGGGACACTGCTGAGCTATGGCAGTGCGCAGGTGAATTTAGAAACTGGTACAGCATGATTTTCCTCCATTAAAAAGGTATGTGTTAACCTTTGCCGACTCCATTATATATGTGGAATTAAAGGATTATTCCACAGGTAAAACGACCTTAATGAAGATGCAGATAGCTATAACATTATTTAAAAAAAAAAAAAATTCACTTTAATCAGCTCATGCTCCAGGCAAAAAGTCCTAATAGAGAAAATGAGAAAAATCTCATTTAAGGATTTAAGGAGAACTGATTTCAGGCAGCTTAAATCAAGATGCAATTAGCTGGGAAGGTCTCTTGGCCAGTCATGGGGACAGAGGTCTCATGGACACTTAAAGAAGTTGATCAGTTCTTTCATGCTGCATCTTTCCTTGATGCACTGTTTTAACAAGATTAAATACTCCTAGGACATTAAATTACTACCCTGCCTTCCCTGGCCGGAATCCACCAGAACAGAGTTCTAAGATCAGCAGCTGACCTGTGGATTCGTAACCAAGAAAGAACACAGCCTACATATCCCAGTACAGGAAAGACTATCCCAGGCAAGAATTCTCCCTAACATCAACAAAGAGCGCTTTCGGACAGCTCCCGGCTCTGGGGGGAGAGGTTGGCCAGATGTTACCTGGAACCCATAAGAGCTCTCAGCTGGATCTGTTAATTTTTACAGTACACAACAATGGATACATCTGCTGCAAAGCAGCTTAAGTCTGAACTACAGCATTCAAGCCAAGTAATTATTTAATGAATGTTTACACACCTCCAGCCATGGGAAGCTCACTCCCATAGCAGCTCAGCTCATCTTGGGGCAGCCCTGATTATTCCTGGAATTGGTGCACTTTAATCTTTGGAGCCACTAGGACAAACCACTAGGTCAAGTTTATGCATGAAAAATGGCAGTATCTTACCTAGTAACTTGTGAAACGGGTTAGATTCCTCTTTCACATATCCATGGGCCCTGAATCTTTAGCCCTCCTGGTCAGATAGCCTCAGTTTATATACCTGATGGTTCTGTGGAATGGTTGAGTCCATGCACCATCCTGCGGTTAGAGTATCCTGCCCAGAGCCCAGTGCCTTTACCCTAGGTGTGGAAGGAGCATCTCTCTCTGACGCTAGGTGTGCCGTGAATGCAGCCCATGGGTTTTGCCAGCCTGGTCACTGCTGCCTCTGCTGAGCTAACTAGACATGAAGATGCTTACATACTTTCCACATGTTTAGCACCTGAGTCCTTGCGCTTTGAACTTGGGACCTTATCTTTTCTCTCCAGTCTTCATCTAGTGAGGTCTCCTTGTGGTTTAGTGCAACAGTGTACTTCCATTTGACAAAATCCCTTAAGCACTGCCTATGGATTATTACATAGGTGGGCATCAAGACCATTTTGGATCTGATTTTGTCATTCAGTATATAGGGCATTCCCCCCCACCTCATGTCACTGAGACTTGGTATTATCATAAAAATGATTGGTCAGAAGTGTGACCTGGAAAGGAGGTAGAGGGAGACTCAGCACCTCCAAGATAGCCTGGGAGTTCCTATCCCTGGGTATCCCCTCCCAGGAGATACCACTTAATGGTTTTACAATTGAACAACTGACAAGCCTTTTCTGTGCACTTCCCACAGCAAGGAACTCATCCTACAGGTTGGTTGACATTAACGGGTTCTCCTATCCCTGCCATTCTTGGGCAGCTTGTCTTCAGTTCTCTGGAATCATGAGAACCAGGAAGTCCACAATCGTGTATTTGGGGAGTTTTTGGTGCTGAAGTTGGTGTTAGCAATGAAAATCTGCTCAATCCTCGCTCATCTAATATTTATTTTTCATCAGATTTATATTGTATCATTAAAACAAGTATTTAACACATTCTTTTTAAGAGCGGTTGCAAATTTTACTTCTAAAGAGATAGCACTTTTAGGGACCACGTGGATCCTAGTAAAATCTACTTCCATCAGGTGAGATAGGAATGTAATTTTAAAACAGAAAATACTGGAATATTTTTTAATCAAAAGGAACTTGAGGGGTGCCTGGGTGGCTCAGTCAGTTAAGCGGCTGCCTTCGGCTCAGGTCATGATCCCAGGGTCCTGGGATCGAGCCCCGCATCGGGCTCCCTGCTCAGCAGAGAGCCTGCTTCTCCCTTTCCCTCTGCCTGCCGCTCTGCCTACTTGTGCTATCTCTCTGTCAAATAAATTAATTAAAAAAAAAAAAGGAACTTGAAAATCGTGTTTAAAACATATAAAAGGGTGTCTTTCTATAGCCTCTCTTGCTGCCAGGGATAGAGTCTGCTTCAGTTGGCCAGTGTTACCCGTCTTTCTATCCCTCCATCCAACACAGAATCCAGTGCCCAGGGATTGCATGGACAGTGATTCAACTGGGCCAAAGCAGATTTCACCTTGGAAATGGATGTCAACAAAAACTTGCTCTTTTAGCTTCAAAAACTTTTTTAATGGCAGGATGGTAGGACCTGTCATGGAAACGATGACATCAAATGTAACTAGAAGTGGTTTGGTTATTGCAAGAATCTATTGGTGGTGCTATAACAGTGGGCATTTTCTTCCCTGTTTCCTAAATCATCTTATCTGTTCACTTCTTTCAGCACCCCACATGTGATCAATGAACCCGAACCATGTGCAAAACCAATGTGCTTCAAATCAAATATATTTTAAATCCCTCTTTTAAGGAACTGAAAGTTGACTGCTTTTAGGAGCCCTGTGTGTGTGTGTGTGTGTGTGTGTATAAAATATATATTTTAGCCCTGTGTATATTTTCCATAAGAAGAATGTATTAGTAATTTATAGGCTGTATTATAATGAATGAAGGTCAGAGTTGGCAGTGTTTACAGGATTTAAAAAATATGAAGAAAAAAATGTTCTCCCTTCTCTATTAAAAAAAAAATATATATATATATATATAGTACTACCTGACACTAACAGTGGCTTGCTTAGGTATTAGCAGGTAAGAATGATTTCTAACCATTTCCCATTCTTCTCTCCTCTTGAAACCCGGGGCTCCAGAACTGTAGGCACAGCACCGCTGGGGACCACTGTGATCTGTGCGCCCCTGGGTACTACGGGAAGGTGACTGGCTCCACTGGGGACTGTTCTCCATGTGCCTGTCCCCGCAGTGGCCCCGCCAGGTGAGTCTGCGCAGGTGTGCCCGCACGCCCGTGCCAACGAAGCTGGGTTGCTTCCTTCTTGGCCTCGTTTTCCAGGCTTTCTGGGTGGCCTGTTTTAACGAATCTCCATGTGTTGAGAAAGGCCAAGTTTAAGAGAAAGTGTTCATTAGCCCAGTATTTGAAGAGAATCTTTTCAAAAATAAAGTCTCTGTGTTGGTATTGGGGTGTTCAAATGGAACCAAGTCAAGAAAGGATGTTCAGGTTTTGTTTCTCAGAGAATAATTTTAGCCTCCAACCTCTGTATCCAGCATACCCGAAGATGGATTGTTACTGAGTTTATGAATAATGATACAAAGAATTCAGTTCCTGTTTAATGTAAGAGAGTGGTTAGAATTTGTATAGGCCGATGACTGATGAGGTGCAGAAATGCTCCATAGTGATGACATCAGGGCCAGGCTCTGCCTTGAACTTGTGATGCTCAGATAGAATTATCTCAACACAAAAAAAGAAGCGGAGATTTTATGTGGAAATTGGAATATCTGTGAGTCCTCTTTGGTTTAAATGAACTTGTAATTCATAAGTAACATTTCATTATCGCCGAGATGGTTTGACAAGGCATTGAACGTGTACAGATAAAATACCAACTTTTGGTATACTAAAATGAAGTTTTCTTTGTAATCATTGCTTGAATCTTTTATTGTCTCCAAGTAAGTGATGCTTGATGGTGAGTGCTAAATGGGAGGCACTGTTAACTTCCTTCTAAACTATCAAGCCTCCTAAAATTTATAGTCACTACTATTACCTTTTTGTGTTAAATATGTATTATAAATTTTGACTCAATTCTATTCCTGTCATCTAAGTTATAGAAATATTTGCATTTGTGTGTAAAGATGGATATATTTTGGCATTGCTTATTCTCACCAGCAATTGCAAGGGAAACTGAAATACCTATGTACAGGGAATTGATTGATATATATCGTGGTGCACACCTACAGTGAAAGATTGTACAAACACTGAGACAAGAATAAGGTATATCTGTATGTGCAGAATTGGAGAAAATATGCTATTTTGGTGAAAATTCTTATCTCCACGTGTATCCATATCCATAGTTCCATGGCTATATGAGCCCAGAGACATGTTTGAAAGGATATTCCACCTCCTACTTTGCACATTTGTGTACTGTTTGAATATTTTACTTCAATCAAAAAGTTCTAACCAACCCCAGAGTGCACACTAATAAATTTTACACGTTAGGAAGCGACTGTGAGGGTCAGAAACCTCTGTGTGAACTCTGCATCTGCGAGCCCATAGCAGACGTGCTTTACTTTCTACATATCTCGTGCTTCCACTAAGCCTGCCCCTTTAGTTTTTAAAGAGGAAGAAAAAGCCCGAACTGAAGTGGGGCTGATAGAGAACCCTGTCTGTCATTCTGGAAACTCAGCACAAGTCAAAACACCAGACACCCCCCCCGCGGTTTTTCTCAGCGGCTTGCAGGTACCCATCTGAGCCTCTAGATGGCGCAAGGCTCCTTGATAATTTAAAATGCGGAGGGAGAGGTTGTGGAGAGGAAGGAGACAAAAGCTGAATCTCTGAGTGAGGGGATCTGAGAGGATTATTACATTTTGAGTGGCTCTGTCATTTTGCTTCTAATGGCGTATCACATGGCTCCTCCATGTCATGAGCCAGGTGATAATGCCCTGCCGTCACAGAACAAGACCCTTTCCTCCTGGAAAGCTTGCTTGTTTGGTGACTAATTCATTGTCCGGTGTGGGATGGTACTGATTCGTTGCAATGTGTCCATTCTTCCCCTCCGCGCGCACACGGTTGTCACTGGACGGGTGTGCAGTGAGTATCTTTTGGATATGAGAGATGCACGTGCTTGTGTTGATCACGTGTTTGTTTTCCTTCTTTTTGCACCCACTAGATTTTCAGCCCTGAAAATGTTGTCTGGTGTAATCCCTTCACTTTCAGAGCAGTATCGTGTATCCTAAGAGTAAAGAATAAGTCGCATAAGGAAGATTTGAAGCTGTAGATCTGAGAATTCAAAACACGTTTTTTTCTCTTCTAGTTTCAGCCCCACTTGCGTCTTGGAAGGCGATGCCGATTTCCGCTGTGACGCCTGCGTTCTGGGCTACGAAGGACAGTACTGCGAAAGGTACGCTAGGGGGCGCCCCGCGGAAGTCGCTAGGCAAGTCCGTCGCATTCCGACGGACAGGACATATTTACTGACGTGATTTGGGAGACGTATCAGTTTGGATGTGCGTGACTGATATGGGATCTTATTACTCTTCCGAGCCAGTATCTACATAAAATGTAGAATGAGGTCAATGGGCCCTTGTTCCTTGTATTTCATTTGGCAGAAAGGGTCGCTGTCCTTGGCGGGGAGCTGGTGTATCTGTTGGCTGGTGTTGATACTACAGTGCACACCTGTGCATCTTCCTCTCTGTAGGTGCTCCTCAGGCTATCACGGGAACCCTCGAGTGCCGGGTGGCACCTGCCAGAGGTGTGACTGCAGCCCGCATGGCTCTGTGCACGGGGACTGTGACCACAGGTCCGGGCAGTGCATCTGCAGGCCGGGTGCCACGGGGCTCCGATGCGAGGAATGCAAACCGAGGCACATTCTCCTGGAAAGCGATTGTGTTTGTGGGTATTCTCCTCCTCTCAGTGTTTAAAGAGCTTTCTCTCTCTCCATTGTGTTCCTGCTATGGCACCAGCAGGATTAAGTAGATGTGTCTGCAAACTCTCTGAGGAAAGGACAGACCAGGCTCTGAAAGGAAATGCATTTGGAATTCATTGCTGTTGGTCCCAGTCAAAGATCCAGAGCAAATGCACTGTGAAGGTCAGAGCAGTAGAAGAAAACACGCATCAGACCTGGGATCCGTGCTGGGCATCAGTTGTTTCTTTCTGTGGGACCCAGATTCTTTCTGTGGGACTGTGATTTGAGGTTCAGTGGCATCGTCTGAGAAGAGGCTCAGTACTTGCCGCTTACCTCCCGGCACACAGGTGGTGGGGGAATGAGACTGGATGTGGTTTGTGCAAGCCTTGTCCTGTACTCTGCTCGTGGATGTTATTCTTGCAAAATGGCTTGTGCAAATCCATGCAAAACTGTGCACACCACCTTGCACTGACTTCAGCTTGCTTTTTCTTCTAGCTTGTGATGATGAGTGTGTAGGTGTGCTGCTGAATGACTTAGGGGATGTTGGTGACACCATCCTCTCTGTGAACCTCACCGGTGTTATCCCTATTCCGTATGGAATTTTGTCAACCCTGGAAAATACAACGAAATCTCTCCGGGTAGGTACTGGGAATACAGAGATTGGTAGAAACCTGTGTCCCCAAGTAAGAGAGTTGGTGAGGACAGTGTTCTGTCATTGTCTGTCCTCTCACAAGTGTGGAAGCCTCATTCCTGGCATCTAGGCTTCTCTGCAGTGTGACTGGGGACTTCACCATCCCCACGCTAACCTGTTCTCCTATGGGACCACTCTAATTGTTCAAGTGTTGTTCCATAGATGTCTCCATATCAATTTCTCCCCAACCGCCCTTCTGCCTTTTGGGATAAGACAGAGTCCACTCACCCCTCTGTGGATATTTGAAAGCAGCTGTCTTAATACAAATACAGAGGAAGAAAAAAAAACATGGATGGTATCTTCTTTAATGCTGGAATATGCTGAAGATCAATTGTTTTCTGTAAATGTATTATTCTTAACTGGATTTGTAAGCCACAAAATTTCTCTTCCCTAGAAGTCTATCTAAAAATCTCTGGGGGTTAAATCATAGTTTTATGTTTAGTCAAAAAGGACCTGGGTCCAAAAAAGGGGTGGGAAGTTAAGAAATTTCAGTATTTTGTATTCTGTAAGCATTTTTACTTCTAATTGGAAAAAAAATGAGATTCTTAATTTTGCTTAAAACTTTGCATGAGAATTTGAGATAATCAATTCACTGTGTCATGTAGTAATAAAAAGGATAGTCATTCCTGAATGCCTTTTTTTTTTCTCTATAAAAGCTTTTCTTAGACTTAACATTTCCTTAGGGGTGTGTGTGTGTGTGTGTGTGTGTGTGAGAGAGAGAGAGAGAGAGAGAATCTGGCTGCTCCAGCCATCCATTCCTGTTTATAGTGGTCTTTCTCTATAGAAATAATGGCCATAAAGAAAGGTTAGGGAACTCTAAGAGATGTTTTTTATATTATTTTTCCTCAAATGGAAAAAAATGTTTTTGAAAGACAAAAAAATTCTCAAAAAAAGTTTAAATTTCCACTCACTATAGACACAATCAATCAATACTATTTTGTCGTATGGACCCTAGCAATATAACTATATTTTAAATTTATCAAGTAAGATAAATACTTAATTTAAATTTTAACTGTTTTTGAATGACTTGCTCTTATTTAAACCACTTTGTCAATTTTTTAAAAGATTTATTTATTTGAGGAAGAGAGAGAGAAAGAGCCAGGGGAGAGGCAGAGGGAGAGGGAGAGAGAGAGAGAGAGAATCCTAAGTGGGCTCCACACCCAGCACAGAGCCCAATGTGGGGCTCAATCTCACGACCTCGAGATGATGACCTGAGCCAAAATCAAGAGTCAGACACCCAACCGACTGAGCTACCCAGGCGCCCCGACTTTGTCAATTTTTTAAGCAACTTTTTATGTTTATGTAAAGTATGCAGGTGAACTCTTAAACTATTCATTGTTTCCACCTACACAGCCTCCGTGGGCAACTTACTTAACTCCCCTGACCCTTCACGATAGTACAGCCTCTTCCCAGGCTTGTTATAAGGCTTAAATAAAATCATACAAGTAAAAAATTAGAGGAGTGTTAGCATAAATTAAGCACTGAATTGTTAGGAATCATAAAGACTTTTCTGTATATAATACTTTTGTATTTCAGCATTTTTAAGATGTTAGCAATTATAGTGAAAACTTAAATGACTCTGATACTGAAATAAATCAGACTTACCCCAGAACTGCGACAATATTTGATTCTGCATAACACACCAGACTTGGAGTTCATATCTATATAGGAAATGTAATGCAAAAAATGGCAGTACAGAGGCATGTTACTCTAATCAACACTTAAGTAAATGTGATTCATTTTATTTCTTAATGCAATTTCAAGGAAAGAAGAATTTCTGTGAACAACAACAAAAGTGATTTAGTCAGGAGCCAGCAAATTTATTTTGAAGCACTGTAATTTGTTTACTTTGTTCTTTTTAGGAAGCTTTATTAAAAGAAAATCCACAGAAGAAACTGGCAAAAGATCAGCTTGAAGGTGTTGCAGAACAAACAGACAATCTGCTAGGGGAGGTAAATTCTTCACGTAGAGGGCCTGCTTCCCACCCAGCCCTTGAAAGCAATTGCATTAGGGTGGTCTGGAAGGTTCTATTAAATCAGGGCAGCCTCTTCCTCCCAGGAGCAGTGCTCCAGGTACTTTGTCATCAAATTGGTTTTAACCCTGCCAGTTTCTGTGCTTTAGTGGAAAGAGACTCCTGACTTAATTTCTGCTGTCACCTCTGCCGAGGGAAGAATTGGCAGTCGCTGAGCCATCAGCCTCTCATTTCCTCCTGTGAACCGAGGGGCGGGCGGGCGGGTGTGTGGTCTCTGAGCAACACTCAGGCCCTGGGTCGCGTGCTGCTGATTTGTGCAGTTTGAATGTCAAGTGAGCCTGTTTGGATGTCAGCAGAGAATTATTTATTCTGTTCAGCCCAGGCCAGATGAATGGTTTTTAGCCACCCAAAAAAGAATCTCATTCGCAGATGGTGAGGGAAGCCTATTGTCAAATTTATAATTTTCACTTTTGAATTTCATGTGTGTGTGTTCGCACACTTACACCTGTGTGTGTATATAGATATGTATATGATAGTATATGTATATTCATATATATATATATCTAGTCTTTGTCTCTCAATACATACACACACACACACGCACCTTAAAGTATTAGGTTGGCTCCTCTTAATTTAGAATTAAGGATGATTTGGGAAGAGTTGAAGGGTTTAAATGTGGCTTTAAGTACCCCAGTGAGAGAACGTTTGGTAGGAAATGATAAGCTGATTAAAATAATTCTCTCTAGCCATTAAAGAAGATTCTCTTTGGATTTGGACTAGAAAACACTTTTAGAACCAGACTAGTTACTTTATGCTCCTGAAAATTACAAACAACCTTTCCTTTTACAAATTAAAACATTCCTAATGAAGATAACAGCAGAGGACAGCTAAGTCTCTACCCTTGGGCTGCTGGCATGTTAGCCTCGTAAAGCCTCAGGAGGGTTGACATTACTCCATGTTATCAGTGAGGCTTGGGCGCTGCTAGGTCTCCAGCCAGTCAGGCTCAGTTTGCCTGACTCTGTGTTCTTATTTTAAGATTTTATTTATTTATTTGACAGAGAGAGACACAGTGAGAGAGGGA